ACATGCCCGACTTAACTATTGCAAGAAAAGACATTGGCGAAACGGCTGCGGGCATCTGACGAGGAGAGCGCCTGCCAGCGCGGGCCGAAACCTTCTGCATGCAGCAGACTTCATAACTACCCCTCCATCCTTCCTCAGTCTTCCTCCCTACAGTGGGAGCTCGACCACAAGAACCCTTCCACAAGAAACACAACCCTGAGACCCCAGGATGTACATTGATTTTTGGCATGGAAGCGTCACGCATGCCTTAACAAAACCATCGAAACCGAAGCAAGAAACCCAGGGCACCCTGGAGGCAAGCAGGGCGTCTCTTGGCATGGTTTTGCACTGTACGCGCCAGTGTCGGTGAAGACGGCCCCGTCTCTGGGAAACCGCCACAAGAACAAAACCGATACCCGTCGGTCGGGGGAAGTGGGCAGAACCATGAAGTAGGAAGGCGTTGGCAGTAGGTCAAGCTTCCGCCCGCCCCCTGGAGAGGAGGGACACAGGGAACATCACTCGATCTTTCGAGCAGGAACGCGCCTAAAATGCCTTGGACGCTGGGAATCCCAACATAACTAGTTTCAACGACTAGCGTGCACCGCTACCCCCAGGACCTGTCCCGAGGTGGGCTGTGACTAGGGTGTCGAGGCGAATCGGGCGGTGGCGACCAGGGCCTCCCAAGAGGCTCCAGGAGGGGGAAACGAGGGAAAAGCAGTCTTATGGGTACCTTTTTCCTCCTCGGAGCTCAGGTGGCGAAACGACGGGCGAGAAGCGTGGTAATGCTCGCACTCTCCCGACGCCCCCTCTGCAGAGATGCGCAACGTTTTTCCAACCCAGGCCGCGGCGAGCGCGAGGGATGCGGTCCTCCTCGCCCGCCCACCTGCCTACCGAAGAGTGCCTCCTAGATGGAGTCCCAGTACGCAGGCTCGATGAGTTCCTAGTACCCCCCCAAAAAAAATAGCAATGTAATATTTGTTCGGGGGCTGATTGAGGGTGCTGACGCCCAAAAAGACTGGGCTAAAAAAATATTCCGCCGCCGCCGCCGTCGCCGCTGTGGAGGACGAAGAAGAGGGGTCGGGGTTCGGAACGGGTCGGAGGATCGCACCGAATGCCTGGGCTGCAGTGGGAGCCCGACCACAAACAGCCTCCCACAAGGAACCCAACCTGGGACACCAGGACGTCCATTCAGTCTTGCTGTGGGAACGCCGCGCTTTCCGCAGCAACACCACTAGCACCCAAGGAAACCCGGGGCGCCCTGGAGGCAAGCAGGGTGTCTCCTGGCATGGGCCTCCACTGCCCCCCCCCCTCCTGCACAGGCACAGCTCCCCGACAGGCTCCCTAGAAGCTCGAGCGGCTTCTTCGAAGGGCCCAGAGGCTTTTTCGAGACGCCCTCCCAGAAGCCGGGGCGGCTTCCAAGGAGTCCCGCTGCCTTCTTGGGCGCCCGGGATCCCATTCGGCCGCCGAGCGGGCGTCCGGGCCGCGGCTGCGTCCAACGCTGCCCGCGGGAGCCGCGCGCCCGGCGGGCGCCCGCGCGGGCCGGAGAGGAAAAGCTCCGGGGGCGGCAGCGCCAGCGCCCCGATCGGCGTCCCGAGAGCCGCGAGGCAGCCCCAGGAGGTAGGTCGGGCATGTCCTCCCACAGCCGGATTTTTGGGCGCAGATTTGGAAATGGCTGGAACAGATTCAAAGACACTTTGAATAAATCCCCCCCAAAAAAGTCCCCAAACTATTCTTTACTGTTTTGGAAAATTCCTTCGGTAGAGGGACAGGCCCGTCTTAACCCAAGAGCCCAGGACCAGTGTGCGCCGCGGAGCAACAAGAACACGGCGGGTGATGGTTGTCCCGAGTTCGACGTCGAGGCTCGAGGATCGACATCTGAGTGATTGTTAGACGCTCGGCCATGTCTAGGTCTCTAGAAACCGCCGTCGAGTAGGGGATCGTCTGCAGAATTGAATTGTCCCAGAATGTATTCACCCCATCGACTCTACGACGAGTGCGTAGAATGTTCGCACATCTACAGGGATCTTCAAGTATTTGTATGTGGATTCGAGGAGAAAATTATATCTCGAGGTGAATCAATGATGTAGCCGATCCCGTAGCCGACTCCGTGGACGGCCTCTGGCGCCGGGCCCGTGCTCGGGGGCGGCCGCGAGGGGGGCGTCCGAGAGCGGGAGGCGCAAGATTCGTGGCCTGCGGCACGTCCGCCTCCTCCTCCTCCCCCTCCTCCTCCTCCTCCTCCTCCTCCTCCTCCTCTCCTCCTTCTCCCCCTCCCCCTCCCCCTCCCCCTCCTCCCCCCTCCTCCTCCTCCTCCTCCTCCTCCTCCTCTCCTCCTCCTCCTCCTCCGCCTCCGCCTCCGCCTCCGCCTCCGCCTCCGCCTCCGCCTCCGCCTCCGCCCGCCTCCGCCTCCGCCTCGCCTCCGCCTCCTCCCTCCTCCTCCTCCTCCTCCTCCTCCTCCTCCTCCTCCTCCGCCTCCGCCTCCGCCCCGCGCTCCGCCTCCGCCTCGCCTCCGCCTCCGCCTCCGCCTCCGCCTCCTCCTCCTCCTCCTCTCCTCCTCCTCCTCCGCCTCCTCCCTCCTCCGCCTCCTCCGCCTCCTCCGCCTCCTCCTCCTCCTCCTCCTCCTCTTCTTCTTCTTCGTCTTTTTCTTCTTCTTATTATTATTCTTATTAGTATTATTTTCTTTCTTGTTATTCTTCTTATTATTATGCTTATTATTATTATTCTTCTTATTATTTTTTTTCTTCTTATTATTCTTATTCCTCTTCTTCTTCTTCTTCCTCCTCCTCCTCCTCCTCCTCCTCCTACGTGCACCCTGGGGAAGCGCACCCAGGGGAGGCGCAACATTCATGACCTGCGTCACGAAACCCAGGGCACCCTGGAGGCAAGCAGGGTGTCTCTTGGCATGGGTCTCCACTGTAGGGCGCCACGGAGCCCCAACCGTCGGGCACACTTGTTGCACCAGCCTGGCCGTAGGGCAGCAACGACAGGGTACCAGCCACGGGACACCAACCACCAAGGCCACATGGCACACCAATATGGGCCACATGGGCCACATGGACCACAATGCACCAGCCATGATGCATCAACCGTGTCGCACCAACCACAGGCAACCAGCCATGGACCATATGCACCATATGGCGTCAATCCATTGAACTAGGACACCAGGAACGCACCAACGGCCGACTGCGACACCCATGGTACGTTCCACAGGGCACCAGCCACAGGACGTGAACCATCGTGCAACACGGTGAACCAACAGTGGGGCACCGGGCGCGTCAGTGGCTGGCTGCGACGCCCAAAGGCGCTGTGCGGGACCACCCGCAGGGCGCAAACCAGAGGCACCAGCACTGGGGCACTGACCATAGGGGAGCAAGAACCCCTTGGTATTGTTCGCGATAACGCCTGTGACCGCCCCCCTCCCTCTCCACCCCCCGTGGTCATGCCACGATTCGCGCCAGCGCCGTCTGGGGATGAACGATTCCTAAGAGTTCCTAGACGGCGCCGAGGCCAATCGCGACGTGACCAGCCCCCTCCCCCTCTGGTCACGCCCCTTATCGCCAGGGAATAAGAAGCGCGCCAATGGCAGACTGCAACGCCCACGAGACAATTGAGCACAAGCCATACAGTCGAACTCTTGAAAGGAGGAACGCCAAATAAGGAACGAGGCCTCTTTCTGGAATGCTAAGAAGCAACGCCAAGAATGTCTGCCAAAAGCGCCTGGGTGCACAAGGAACGACCACGGACTGACCCAAGGAAAACCGAGCCCCATCCGAACCCAAATCGGCCCTTGTTTCAGCGCGTCTTGACTGTAGTGCGCCAACTCGTAGGGCACCCACCAACCACAGGGCTGCCGCGCGCCAGCTCCCTGGCCATCAGGCAAGAACGCTGCGTGAGTGTAAACGCTGGCTGTTGGGGAGAAGCGATGGCGCCGGTACCACCAATGGTCGAGCAGCAGGGTCCTGCCCTGCCCGTGGTGCAGGATCGCCGCTTGTTCGGCGTATTGCTCGAGACATCTCCAAACTTCAGCAGCTCGAGGCGGGGGGGAGGGGAAACCCCGACGGCGGTGAAGGTGCCAGTGCTCCCTCCGACTCTCGCTGACGCCATCCTCCCGCCGAGATGCGCGCTCTCGTGGGGCCGCGTTCCGTGGGGAGCCATTCTCTGGGGGGGTGCGCCGAGATGTGCTCACGGGACCAGACGCGGTGCTCTTCGCTTCAGCCTCAACACGTTTCCAGCTCGGGGTGCCTCTCGACCTGGACAAACCGTAGGAAAGGCGAACAGCAAGGGCAACTGGAGTAGCAAGGAGACTGCAGTGCAAAGCAACATGTCCTTCTCATACTTGCAACTGTCTTGGGAGAGGGAAAATTGATCGTGCCTTCGGCGCGGCCACGCAGCCCGTAAGGAGTAGAAGCAAAACGACTCGCCGATCCGATGGCCAAGAAACTTTGACTTGCAACCAAGGAATACGAGGAAAAGGGAAAGCGAGCCCAAATAACGTATCCATCTCTCAACGTCATCGCCTCTCTTGCTACTGCGACGTGACCACGGTGCCGGTGGCATTGAAAGCTCAGAAATATTGTCGAACCTGTATGCCCACGGCCGCCGACACCTTGAGCACTGAGCTCTGACCAGGCAATCCGATGCGGCATCCGTCGCAACGCGAGAGCAAGCGCCACATGCTCATCATCATGCGTGATGCCATGGCTCAGTGGAGACCACGCCAATCCGGCATCGCGCGACCCCCCAACCTTTCTCGCGATGCGGCGTACTGTCTCCTCCGACGCCTGTCGATGCACCTAGTCCCCTGCTTCCTCCTCGCCGTCGTCGTTCCCACCCCCCTACTCGACCGTAGAAGAACATCAGGAGGACAGAAATGCCGACCCTGCCACGAAGAACGTCGATCCTGGACACCATGTTGGCCTGGCCAGGATCGGCGTCAGCATGCCAACGGCATCCCCAAAACTGGTGCCTTCTCCCCGTGCCCGGAACGTGCCCTGTACCACCGAGCGGAGAGAAGCACAACGCGCCTCCTCTGCCAGCACGCTCTCGGGTATAACTCTGCCTCTTCTGCTGCGGCTGCGGCTTCTGGGCCTGCTGAGAGGATCTCTGCCGGTAATCCTCGGGGGTCTGGGGGCGGCTCCATCAACGGCTATTCAGCTTCGCTCTGCTGCAAGCCGTGGAGAAGAAATTAGGTGGACCATTAAACGGTAGAGCTGTTAAAGCACATTGCGTTTCGACTCCCCCATGGCTAGGAGGTCAAGTACAAAGGCTGTCAGACCTTGACGTAGAAAGGGTACAGACGTATATTTGAAGAAGAATATTGGCAGGAGGAAACCAAGTACTTGAGGAAACAGGTCCCCAAACCGGTCTTGTCCCTCAGACTGGCTATCCATTCCGAACCGGTGTCCGACGCTGATGAGACCCCCGGGAGCCTCGGGGGCCCGACAACAACAACAACAACAAAAACAACAGGACCCGCTTCCCTCAAGACCGGTGTCACTCGCAACGCAGATTGGCAATCCACACATTCCCACTGTCAACCCTCGGCTGGTGTGACAGTCGCGTCCGTCGTGGCTGCATCTCGACGCCCACTGGAAGCGGCCTGGAGGAGAGTCGCTCGCGCGCAGGCTGGCAGCGAGGAGGCGCCCCACTTTGAAGGGGCCCTGGGACACACAAATAAATACACACAGATAAAAAGATTCCCCATATGTTTTTATATTTTATAGGTTTTTGTCTCCCGCCCCACCTCCCATCTTTCCTTATATTTTCTGGGGAATCGCCGATGAATTGTGTCTGTGTGTGTCTTTCCCTCCTGACACTTGGACTGCAACCCTGGAGCTCTGCAGCACAGTGGGACACTGGCCTGAGCCGGCTGACCACAACATGTCGTGTCCAAAGCTTAGGTGGGCCCTGGAAACGACAGGGCCGTTTTTCCACCGGTTCCGTTTTGCCGTTTGTTTGCCGGTTCCGACGCCGTGTTTTTGCCGGTGCCGTCGCCGTTCTTTTACGGGTTTCCGCTCCGGCTCCCATCCTGGAGCCGTTTTTGTTGCCGTTTCCCGTCGCCGTTTTTTTGCCGTTTCCATTTTCAAGGGGCACTTTTTCGGAAACGGTGAAAAACGGTCCTGCCGTTTCTGGGGCCCACTAAGGTCCAGAGCCTTTCGGAGGTCCGAACGGATTGTTTAAGTCCGCGCTGGGCCCACTTGGCCACATCCCGTCGTTGCCGCGGGGAGCCAGCGCCTGAGGCGCCACCAGGGGCATGGAAACGAGCCTGGCGACGACCCGAGGTATGCGCGCGGACCTCCGAAAGTGTATGCTCGCGTAGCTTTCTTTCAACCGTCATCATAGATCACGCGTGAGGCTGCAATAATGAAGCTCACGGCGAAGTCCCAAATTCCCAGACGAAGGGCCGCCCAGATAGATCGTTTGGCGTGGACTGACCCAGACGCCAGCCACACGCATCACGAAATATGCACAGACTGCTCTGCGCACACGTCTTCACTTCCACACTTTGGCAGTGACAGGCAACAATGCGGGCTGCACCGAGAACTCAAGACTCCCCTGCTGTCCCAGAACGCGGGACCTTGAAGGCATCACGGCACCCTGCAGGAAAGCCACAGAACGCATCGAGGGCCTCAGCGGAAGGGTCGACCTGCATAGCTGCGCGCCCCTCGCGGCAAGTGCCGCACACGCTTCCCGAGAGAACGCGACAGGACCCCAGGAGCTGTTTGCACCCACTCGGCGGTGCACCTGGAAGAACGGAACATGTCTGTGCATGGCTCTCGGGTGCACCACGGCACCTGCTGGCCAGCAAATCCGCGACAGTGTCCGCACGAGCGATTCCGGCGGCACCTGGTAGTCCTCGGAGGCGATGTCTCATAGAGTTTTCTCCGCGGGGATCCGGGTCAGATTACAACTCCCCACTTTCTGGTCATGCTCGCAGTCGCAGTTGGATCGAAGGGAAGCCCCTTCCCTTTGATCCGATCCCCACTGGTTGAAAAACCGAGATCTCCTGGGGAGGTCCCCGGGGGGGCGTGGGGTGGGGCCGGGTCAGGTTGAACCGAGGTCTTTAGAACCCCCCCCCCGAATAAGTGAAATGCATGATTTTTCCTTCGGGCTCATTGGTGGACTGGCGCCCCACCAGTCAAGGGAAACCAATGATATTTGGTGTCCGCGGCGCGGCGCCCGCCAGCAACGCTTTCATGGAACAGTTTGGCTCAGACACTTGGCACTCCGAAGCTTTCTCCCGCGCGGGCCCTCCGAGAATCCACCCTCAGAAGCTTCATCCTCAGAAGCTTCATCCTCAATACCACCGAACCGGGCCTCACGCCCACATGCGACCTTCGCCACGGAGGCACTCGGTGGAGCTCCCTATGGAGCCACGGCGCGTGTGAGGGGTGTGCCGAAATCGGCGTGACGCCAACATGCGAACTGCGCCACAGAGGCACCTGGTGGACCTCCCTGTGGGGCCTCGAAAGGTATGGGGCGTGTGCCAAAGTCCGCGTGACGCCAACATGCGAACCGCGTCACAAAGGCATTCGGTGGAACCCCCATCTGGGACCATGAAACGTGTGAGGGGTGTGCCAAAACAAGCGTGACGCCCATATGCGAACTGCGCCACGGAGGCACTCGGTGGACACCCCTATGGGCCACGAAACGTGTCAGAGGTGTGCCGAAACGGGCGTGACGCCCATATGCGAACTGCGCCACGGAGGCACTCCGTGGACCCCCCCCTGTGGGCCACGAAACGTGTCAGAGGTGTGCCGAAACCAGCGTGACGCCCACATGCGAGCTGCGCCACAGAGGCACTCGGTGAAGCCCCCTTATGGGACCACGAAACGTGTGAGTGGTGTGCCGAATTGGGCCTGACGCCCACATGCGAACTGCGCCACGGAGGCCTTAGAACTTAGATGGACCCCCCGTATAGGGGTCATCAAACGTGAGAGGGGCGTGCCGAAACAGGGGTGATGATGACGACGGAGGAGGGAGGAGGGAGAGGAAGGGGGGAGGTGAGGTGACGCGTGGCGTTGTCTCTTCAAAGCGAAGACCCAACACCACAGGGGGGGAGGGGTGGACGGGCCAGAAGGGGGGCCCTAGCGTTGTATCCTCTCCTCGCTCCCAAACTGGGTAAGTCCGCGCGCTCGTCTATGTGTCAGCTAGTCTATCAATCGTCGTCGTCGGTCGTCGTCATCGTTTCGGTTCGTCGGTCGGTCGGTCCGTCGAACGTCATCCGTCAACGTCTCGGTCTGTTGGTCGGTCGGTCGGTCGGCCGATTGGACGTCGTCGGTCGTCGTCGTTTCGGTCGGTCGGCCGGTCAGTCGTGCGGTCCAGTCGTTGGTCGTCGGTCGGTCCGTCGTCGTCGGTCATCGTCGTCTTGGTCGTTGGTCGTCGTTCCACAGCCAGGACTCGCCCACGCCATGGCGCGCTCTGAAAGCGCGCTACTGGTCCAGCGCGGCTACGGATGCAGGGGGGGTTGAGAACAAGACCTTGAACCCAAAAATCGGCACGATTTGATCTGCTTACTGAAATTTCACTGCCAGCAATCGTCCACAGACTGTGCTCCCTTGCTTCGCCCTGGGCGGCTCTCCCCGTGTACATGTGCCACCTGGCGGCATCTCGCTCATCTGGGACAGTCGTGCCGCGCGCGCTTCTCCTGCAGGCAATCACGCCGCGCTGCTCCTGCGAGGACGGCCCCAGACACCCGGGGCAGGTGGGACACCCGAACCCTACCCCCGCCAAGCATCGAATTCTCCCGAACCGACGGGAGGCGGGGGTCGGGTTCGGACGTCGCCCCGCCCTGCCCCCCGCCGCCCCAAAACGCTGCACGAGGCGAGGATCGGCGACGGTGAGGTTCGGCCTCCGCCGCCGACCTCTTTCCGGAGGCAGGACGCCGCGCTGCTCCTGAGAGGCCCGCCCCAGACATCCGGGGCCGAACAGAGGGCAAACAATCCACCCCCATCATCACCACCCCGGCAAGCCAGGCCGTTTCGTGAACGCACTCAAAGAAAGAATCGAACAGGGCAGGGCTGCTTCGTAAACGCCCGGGGCCGTGTAGCAAACGCCACTTAGCGGGTCCGGGTTGTTTTCCTTGATCAGGGACCGACCGTCCGGCATTCCTACAGTCCTACCACGGCATGTTCTTAGAACCCCAAAATGTTCGAAAAACAAAGCAATGTTCTTAGAATATAGACCCGATGTGATAAAACAAGACAGACTCCGCCACAACTGTTCTAAGAATAGTTCGTGGAAACCACGGAACGTTCTTAGAACATTGTTTGGTAGGGCTATAAAGCGAGCCAGGTCGCTTCGCCACTGCCTGATTTCCTTCCCTTGACCGAACTCGACTCTGGTCTCTCGAGCTCCGCTCCCCATGCCCTCTCTGTGGCTCCCCCCCTCCCCCCACATCGCAGCCCGCGCCTGCCCCGCAGCGCGCTCGGGCTGGGATCCCGTGGAGGGCCCGGGCCGTGGCGCCGAGGGCCCTCCATATATTGAAAGGCCCAGACGAGGCCACAGAGGACCACGCCGCCTCTCCCTCGGCGCGCCGCCGCGTTTCCTGGACTTCGCCCATGGCTCCCCCCTGACAACCAACTCTTCTTCTTGGACGGATGCCTGATGGCCCCGGGGCCCGAAACGGGCCCCCCGATGCCAAGAGGTCGAGGAGAAGCCTTCTCGCCCCGGGGCCCGAAACGGGCCCCCCGATGCCAAGAGGTCGAGGAGAAGCCTTCTCGCCGTCGTCCCCGTCGTGGCCGCCCGTCGGCTGCCCTCCCCCCCTCTCGGGCGTTGGCAGAACTGGGTTTCGTGGGACCTGGTTTCGTGATGTGTACTGGGGGACGCCCCCCCCCCGCCCCGTTCCACTACCCGGAACTGCCGTCGCCCGAAAAACACCAGCTATGGCAGCCCTGGTCTTGTGACACTGGCCAATTTACGGGCTCCGGGGCCCTGCTACTGACCGGGACCCTTTACCCGGTGTCCTGGCTATACTTACCAGCCTGGAACATATCCCTATCCCTATGCTGGGCATCTCCTCATCACGATGCCAATCTTAGGGATTCCCCTAGTTTTTCAGGGCAAATCCCTAAGATTGTCATCGCTTTTTGGCGTGTCAATCTTAGGGATAGGGATAAGTTCGAGGCTGGTGATATACCCGACCCTCGCTGTCCTCCGTCGGCAGCCACTGCTGCTGCGCTGGCGGCCACTGCATCTGAGCCAGAGCTGGCCCCTGCATGGGGGCAGCGTCCTGGGCCGGCGCTCCGCTCCGCTCCGCGGTGGAGGGGAGGGGCAGGGGCCCTGGGGCGCGGGAGGTGGAGGGGCAGGACAGCGAGGAGGGGGGAGAGGCGGGGGAAGCGGGGGCAGAGGGGGGGGAGGGGAGGGAAGGATGAGGAAGCAGGAAGGACGGGGGGGGAGAGGGGGAGGAGGAGGGAGGGGGGAAGGAGGATGATGAGGGGTGGAAGAGTCAAGGACGGGATGGGAAGGAGGAGGAGGAAGGGCTACCTTTTTTACCTGGCAGCTATTTCTCCATCGCCGTGGGCGCTGGCTGAAGGCAGGGGGTACGAACGCAACGGAGATTGGTCGAGCCTGCCCTCAGCATCAGCGTCCAGGGGATGAAGGATATGTGGCGACATCCGAACCCTACCCCACCAACCATCAATTCTCCTTGATCGGTGGGGGCGGGGGTTAGGGTTCGGCTTTCGCCACGTACTCGACGAGTTCGGGACCCTACCCCCGACGCCCATCGAGTCGCCAGTTGATTAACGAGAGTAGGATTCGGATTTCGCCATCGAAAAGAAGAATCAGGAGGACCAGTGCAAACCTCAGACTCATCAGCGATGGTGCAATAGACCCTCCCTCCAAGTTCCTTTTTCAGAGGTCCCTACAAGGATTCATTCTCACGGAGGGAACTGCCCCGGTGAAGGCAAAAGTTTGGAAATCCTGAAACGCTCCAGAAACACAATTCCTGGTGCCTCAACGCTCCGAATTAACGTTATTGTTGAGCCCTGGCGACCCTGAATCGTGCCAGAACGCTGTTCATGGCACTTCAACGCAGCAAATCAACGTCACTGTCGCGCCCTGACAATCCTACATCGTGTCAGAAAATCATGTCTGGGAGGTCAACCATAACAATCCTTGAAACAGCTGTGTGAAATCTTGACACGAACGTGCCGGGCGTTGAGGTGAATAAAACTCCATTCGAAACTCCACCTGCGAAACACTGACACACTATTAGAACGAATGCACACGGCACCGGGGCGAAAACCACATTTTAAAAGGATGCCGCCCTCCATCCGTTAAACCCTTGCAAATGCTTACATCGATTTCGCGCGGTGCGAAGACGAGCGCCACATGTTGCAAACGGCCCGCCCTCCATCCCTGAAGCGCCTGCAGGCATTCAAAACAACTGTGCGCGGCGCTACGGCGGGAACCGCATCTTGAAAACGACCCTCGCCCCATCCGTGAAATGCTGCAACTCCTCACCTCAAGGATCATACATTCGGCGGTGGACAAACCTCCCTTTAGTTAATCCCCCTGTAGTGAATACGGCCTAGGACCGAAACCGACGGACCTGGACCCGCAAAAATGACGGCCGCGACGCCCTCTCGCGAACCGAAAACGGCCAATTCCTGAATCGACGAGTCAGGGTAGGAGGTGTGTCCACCCCCGAGATCATAAGTGGTGAAGAGATCCCAACAACCAAAAACGTCTGGACCGCCCTGCCGACACGTCTCGAAGTGCGACACGGGTCGTCGACGTCGTCGTCGGCGTCGTCGTCGTCGTCGACATCGTCGTCGTCGTCGCCGTCGTCGTCGTCACCGTCGTCGTCGTCGTCGTCGTCGTCGCCGTCGTCGTCGTCACCGTCGTCGTCGTCGTCGTCGTCGTCGTCGTCGTCGTCGTCGTCGTCGTCGTCGGCGCCCGTCGCCTCCGCAGCGCCCGCGGGTCCTCTTGCTCCGGGCGCCTCGCCGCCGCGCTGCGCCGATTGTTACCTCGATGGGGCTGCGCCGCGGGCGCGCCGGCGGGGTCGGCCGCGCAGGGCGCCGCCGCCCAGTCCTGCGGGGAGGGCGTGCGCGTAAAGGGATCGGTGGAAGCTCTCTGCTCGGCCACACGCAAGACCCTGAGACGAAGCCAGGACGAGGATAACATCGGGTGGGGGTAATTCGAGAATCCCCGAGGTCTGGCGGCTCTGGCTGAAGGGGGGTCCAGAACACACAAAGAAATACATACAAATAAACAGATGCCCCCTAATTTTCCTATGTGTATTTGTCTTCCCCCCCCACTTCCCATATCTCCCTATATGTTCTTGGAATCGACGATTAATTGTGTCTGTGTGTTTTTTCTTCTGACTGGCGTTTGTGTCGGGCGCCGCGGCCTTCGTCGGCGTTCCAGAACACTGCGAGACCGTTCCGGCACGCGCTGGGCACGCGTTCCGTCCGACCTCGGCCACGCGCAAGGCCCAGCCCTGCCCGCGTCGCGACAAAATCACAACGGATGCTTCTTGCTCGTTGCAGGGCTGGGGTGCCCGCACCTGGCCACTGGACTGCCGAGAAAACAACCCAGGAAAAAAAACAAATCCTGGGTAGTACTGAAGCGGGCCCAGACGTCCGGGACCCCACGCCGCGAGACACCCATGGCGACGGACGTATCGGAATAATGACCAGGGGCCTTGGTCGCGCCGCTCGCCCGCGAGTTCCGTGGAGGCCGCGTGCACAAAATCTGGGGTGAATTCCACGAAACGTCAGTCACCCTTACGCGCGGGTGCATTTCGAGCTTCGTATACAATGATATTAGCCGCTTGCGTGGACTCCGAATTGCGCGTTCCATAGCACTCTGTTCCATCATACTCCGTGGTGCAAGACACGTAGTGCAATCCACCCGTGCTCGCAGTGACTTGTCAACCCCACTGCACGCGCACTCATCCCACCAACGCACCCGCAGCTTGGCTTGCCAAGCCCATGCGACGGCGACTGCGATGAGTGTTTGGCGTTGACTGGTGCATCTCCGCGGCCGCGCTAGCCCGCGCATGCTCGCGCGCGCAGCGGCCAGCATGTGCGGCGCGACCGGCGCGGCCGCGGCGGCGCTGACCGCTAGGCAATTCCCAGCGGGCACTTCACTGCGAGTCCGTGATTTTGGCGGGCGCGGTATCATGGCGACGCCAACGACGGCAGACACGATGATGGAAAGTAGCGATGGTGCTGACGATGGTGGCGATGGAGACGGCATGGTCAATTACGGCGCCGATGCTGATCACGCCCGCCGATGCCGATGACGATGTCCTCGCGTTGGTGGTGAAGGTTTTGCAAGAGTTCGACATGTGGGCGCGGCGGGCGCGCACGAGTGGCCCGCGTGGTGTTATTTGACACGGATCGTGTGCCCCCACCCCAGCACGCGCGCAAGGGTGTTCGGACGTTCTTCAACATGCGGCGCGAGAGGCCCGCTTGGCAGAATTGGATGTCATTGGTGGGAAGCCGACGCTTTTCTTAAGAATTCGCTAGAACGCCCGACAGGCTTATGTTGAAACCTGTCCTCGCAAAACCATGTGTTTTCAATATGTGTTCGCGCGAGGTTTTGGCGACTTTTGGCACGCGCGCGGGACGACGCGCGCGCGTGCACTTTGCCCATTTTTTTGCATAGGGGATTATGGTCACAGCGCGCGGGCAAGGACGTTCGAACGGTTTGGACATGCGCACGCGAGAGGCTCCTCTGGTAGCATGTTTTATGACTATGTAGGATCACACCCGGTTTTCGCCCGACTTGCAAGAGTGCGAGCGTGAGCCTGTCTTGGAAATTCTCGCGGCGAAACCATGCGTTCTCCATGCGATCTCGGGGCGCTGTCCATGCGAAACCAAAGATTGCTGCGATGTTTGTCGCGCGCACGCGCGCGACGCGCCAGTGCAACTCGCCCGATTTGTTGCAAGGGAGCTTTGAACACTAATGATGTTCGATCCGAAGGATGAGGGGGGGGGGGGGGCGTCGATGCCGGCCTGGCTCGGGCGGCATGAATGAACTTATATGAAATTCCAAAAAAAGACGGGGCATAATCACATACATTGCAATGCGAAACAATGGGGGCGGTGCAAATCCAAGGGGGGTAGGGGGGGGTCCTGCAGAAACGCACATCATGTCTGTTCGCAATGACTTGACAACCCCGCCACCCCCGGCACCACCCACCTAGAAGCGACTTGGTTTCCAAAACCTACGAAGCGACAGTGGCGACGCGTGCCTGGCCGCCGGCTGGTGCATCGCCGCGGCCGCGCTCGCGCGCGCAAGCTGGCGCGCGGAGCTGCCGTCTAGCGCGGCGCGACCGACGCGGCCGCGGCGGCGCTGGCCCGGAGGCGACCCGACGCGCCCCACCTCGCCGACACGCGGGCACTTGAATGCGAGTCGGCGGCTCGGGCGGGCGCGCCGCCACGGCGACGTCGACGACGGCAGACGCGGCGTTGATTGCAGCGGCGCGAGCGACGAAAACGGCGACGACCACCGCAGGGCAAACGACGGCGCCATAGGCGCCAATGACGACGATGGCGCCCGCGAGTCGGCGATGAACGTCGAGGAAGATTTTCGACGCGTGCGCGCGGCCGACGGGCGCGCGCTGCCCGCGCGGCATTATTCGGCCAAGGATCGCGCGCCCCCAGCGCGCGCAAGCGCGAAGCCGGTTTGATCGCGCTCGATGGAGACGTTGACCAGCTTAGGGGCTCCTGAAGAACTCGCAAAACACACTGTGCAAAAATCATTGTGTTCTTATTCGTCTTCGGCGCACTCGATTTTCGAAATCTGAGCGGAACCTGAGCACCCCAGATGCACCTCTGCAACATCTCGGCGCGCGCCCCAAATGTCTCGGCGCAAGATTCGCCTTCCCGTCGCAGCGAATTCTCTTGCAACGCGAAAGGGGCGCGCGCTGCAGACAAGACCGCGCCCCAGAGGAAAAAAAACAACACAAACAAAAAAACGCCGAAGAACAACCCCCCGCGCGCACTTCTGATTCTCAGTCGCGGACCTTCCCTTGCAGTGGTTGGCAGGCGCCCTAGAACAATCGCCCTTGAAGGCGCGCCCTCGCGGTGGGGCGCGATGGGGGGCGCCGGCCACTTCCGCGCGCAGCGCATGCTACGCTCGGTTGTCTGCGCGGCGTTTCCTTCGCGCGATTCCCCAGGCGGCGCCCCCCGCGCCTCGCCGTCGACGCAGAGGCCCTCTACACGGCGTTTCCGGCCAGGCGTTTCTCTGCGAGGCGTCTGCTACGGAGTGCTTGTTTAACGCTGATTTTGTCTATGATGCGTCTCCTAGTCCGCTCGGCGCCGCAGTGACATGGGGCCCCATTGCGTTGCGTCCGCCGACGCGGCGCTGCATTTCGCAATGTTATCTTGCGGTAGCGGTGGCGCCGCTGTTTCCGGGGAACCCCTCGGCCCCGCGACGGAGCGCGCCAGCCAAACAACCTAGAAGCACACCGCAAACCTTCGGAGCGCATCGACGCGCGCGCCATGTTCCCCGGCGCAGATTGGCTCTCCTCTTGCAGGCGCCCTCACTTCAAGCGCCCAGGGCGCTCGGGCAAACGGCGGGGCAGCGCGCCGAAACCAGGCGCCGGCCGCAGACGAGACCGCGCCCCCCAACGAAAAAACTCAAAGGCGCGCGCCAAAAAACATTCGCCCGATCGCACTTCTGATTCCCATTCGCGGGCTGGTTTGTTCGATGAGTTTGGCGCGCCCCATTGAATGGCAGTCATTCGACGCGCGCCCTCGCGGTCGAGCGCGACGGGGGGCGCTGGCAATGCCCGAGCGCAGCGCGCACTACGCGATGCCCCCACGCGGGGTTTGCTGCGCGGCGTTTCCTACGCAGCATTCTCCGCGCAGTCCTGGCTGCAGAGTGAGTCTCTACGCGGCTTTCTCTGGATTTGTCTACGCTGCTCTTGTCGCGCATGTTTCGTTCGACCAAAAACGCGGCGGTTCCCGGGCAGCTTGGCCGCGAAATGCCACGAGGCACATCGTGAATGCGTTTGCGCGATGTTTCGCTTTTCGCAACGTTACCTTGCGATAGCGGTCGCGCCGCCGACTGTCGGAAAGCTCACCGCTCGACGATTAAAGTGGTCTGTCAGGAGACCACGAAGCACCCCGCGTGCACTTTCGGGGCACTTCGACGCGCATTCCGGATTCCTCCGGGCAAATAAAGGTTCTTGCATGTATTTTGGAGCTGGGAACCCTCGGACAACCGGCGGGGCAACGCGACGAGCCAGACGCTTGCTGCAGACAAAACCGCAAGAACTACAATTTGAAGGCGCGCGCTGCTGGTTCTTATCCGCGGACCAATTGTTTGCGCTTTGCCCGGCGCCATTGAATCATTGCTCTTGGGGGCGTGCTTTCGCGGCAGAGCGCGGTGGGGGGCGCCGCCGAAGTCCCCGCGCCGCGCGTTCAGCGCTGCGCGGTCTACGCCGCGTCTACTACGCAGCATGTCCTACGATCGGTCTTCTTCGCAGCGTTCAGAAACGCCGCGCCGTCTGCGCAGGTGTTTCTGCGCGGCCTTTCCTGCGCGGCGCTTCCTACGCGGCGTTTCCTGCGCGGCGCTGACTGCGCCGCGGTTTTGAATTGCCTTTTTTAAAATAAAAAACACATGTCTTTGTTTCTCCCTGTTCAGCCAGCTCGGCCGCGCGGAGCCAAGCGGCGCGCGGCGGGCGGCTTCGGCAAGTTCTAGACGCCACGCGGCAGACGCCACATAGACAACGCGACGTTGATAATAGGACGCAACAAACGCGACGAAACAATAGCCGCATGAAACCACGACGCAGGAAGCAAAAACAGAAAAAGACACCTTGAAGAAGGCATCGAACAGAGAACGCAGCCTAGGACACATTGCGCACGGCGCCGCGCATTTCGGCGCGTTCGAGCAAGCGCCTGCTAGTCATTGTTGCGGATGCCCCCCCGACCTCGCGCGGCCGCGCGACGTCCCGCGCGGCGGCCGCGAGACAAAGCGGCGCAAAACAACGCAGCGCAGGACATGCAACGCCTGCATCAACTGCGTGGAAAACGCTGCGCAACAACCACTACGTCGAAAACACCACGCGCGCA